GTGTGTGTGTGTGTGTGTGTGTGTGTCTATGTATGTAAGTGTGTGAAAAAATATATATATACATTTTTTGTGGAAAGTCAATCTCTAAGGGTTTTATGCATCAAAAGAAAGTAAAATTAGGCAATTTAATAGTAATAAAAACAAACTTTTACAGTGAGATAAATCATTTAGAAGTAGGACTTGGCAGTCTTCCCAGACTTGGACACCCCAAAAATATCACCCTGAGGTCAGACCATGTAGTGCTCATAAAGCCGTAAGCTCCATCAGACTTTAGGCCTCAGTTAGCAAGGTGACAAGATTAATATTAGAAAAAAACTGAATAATTAGGACTTGTTTTGAGGAATTGTCAGGAGGCAAACCTATATCCACCTCTACATTAATTGGCATCACATGTTTGACTTCTTGAACGTCTTTTGAACACTTGAGAGCAAATAATGTTTGGTCAGAACAAACATCTTCATATACTGAAAGAGACAAGTCAAACGATCAAGCCTGATCATTGAAACAGGAATCTGTTTCACAGCAACAGGATCTGAACACTCTGCAGTCAGTGGCTCCTAAACCAAATATCCCAGTCATATGTGAGACTAGCTGAAGCTCATCTAGAACTGAAGCATGCAACAGAATGATGCTCCAAACCAATCTACAAAAAAACAGCCAAAGTATGGAAAAGATCTGGTTAAAATCCAGATATCAGAAATCTGTAAAAAAAGTTTTTTTCTTCAACCTTTTGAGATAAAAGAGTGATGACATGTGATTTTTTAAATTTTATTTAACCTTTATTTCAACAGGCAAAACTTTAAGAACAGTTTCTTATTTAMAATGTTGGCATGAGAGAGCAAAAACACTTAAAAATGGGAAGATGGGGAAGGGGAAACAACATAAACAGTACATAAAATATATCAAATGAACGGTGCATTCGTTCTTTAAAACTGTTACATGACTCCTTAAAAAGATCCTTTAGTCTGCGTTTAAAAGCAGGAATAGAAATCAAAGTGCCAAGATGCAGTGTATTTTGACAGAAGTTCCAATCTACACTCACCGGCCACTTTATTAGGTACACCACGCTAGTAACGGGTTGGACCCTCTTTTGCCTTCAGAACTGCCTCAATTCTTCGTGGCAT